GAAAATGTATCGGAAAAATACGTTACGGCGGTAGGAAATGACTGAAGTCTAAATGCTAGATCATGACAGCTAACATTACAAATTCTTATTTGGGTTTTTTTATAAAGAATATTTAAGTACAGAGCAGAAGTACCAGAGCAGTTGTGACAGTATTATTCAATGCATGGGCGAATTGTAAAGGTATAAATGAGTAAAATTGTGACGTGACAAAATGAACCAACTTTCTTAGCAGAGGACAAAACAGAATTATATAATACAGAGTAACCCGGATATAAGAGAGTTGGCGGGACCGGAGAAGAAGTCTCTTATATCCGGGTTTCTCTTATATCCGGGTTTGGTCTATTTTATATACATTAACACAGGCTCTAATTTGGGACCAGAGAAAATCTCTCTTATATCCGGGTTTCTCTTATATCCGGGTCTCTTATATCCGGGTTACACTGTACTTATATTCTCTCTAGATACTTCTATGCTCAATATTATATTCTCCCACACACTTCAGAATCAGAAACCTTTTCGATTTACTGCATAACAATAAATCTCAAGGATATACGCCTGATTAATATATATATATATCGTTGAATATCTACTCTGTAGTTCATTAAGACATTGTATCTTTATTTCCGTTTAATTGCTTCTGTACATTTGTAAGCAGCTATGTATGAACGATATCTGTTAAGGGCTAAGAAGAATAAGAACACTATATGCAATGAAAAGTAAATGAACTTTATTAAAAATATGGAATCATCTCTGCCAAATGAATTGCATTATTGTTTTTTTTCCATTCGATATGAATATATGTTTTACACTATTAAGAATTTCCGTTTTGTAAAACTGAATTAATGTTCTAAACCTCTGTTTTGAGTTTCATGGAATAACATAGAGTCTTCAACAGACTTGATATTAAATTCAATTTATTTATTTTCAGAAACCATTTTACCTTAAGAGCCGTTATTTTATAACATAAACCAATTGAATTGGTTCGATTTTTCTTTTATATATATATATATATATAATTATTATTTATAAAAATTATAACATAAGTATGTTATAAAATCACTACAAAAATATCCATTTTGTTTCAACACACTCGGTGTCTTATCAAGTGATGATGTTGAAGATAAAATAAATGGTTTTATAAGTTTCAGATTAATTAACGATCCTACACTAGGGGGAAACATTGTTACAAAAGCGAGAATAACCAATCAAAAACCAAGTATAGAAAGATTCAAAAGCTTGACAACGAAATCATATTATAATAGCTATTGAGATCTTTAAAATACGTGTAATATTAAAAATAATTTATACTAATCAATAATTATAAATTTATATGATAAAATTTAATATTAAAATTAAAAACTGGCAATTTTAAAATCCAAATTTAATCACTATTAAGTTTAAAAACTACAAAATTATTGAGAAAAGAAAAAATATATATGTTTATTCAATTTATTTCTTCGTTGAAATTACGTTCGACAAGACGCTACAATATATCCGGTCATTTGACAATACATATATATATTTTTTATTCTAAAGTGTGTGAATGTGGTTTTAAACTCACGAGCAAAACAACAAAAACACATTGTATTGAGCACTCTTTTAAGAATAGTAATTGTTGGTTATTGGAATTCATTCCATATATACCAATTATATACTTGGATATATATATATATATATATATATATATATATATATATATATATATATATATATATATATGAGATATTTTGTATAAGGAAAGATCGATATTGACGAGACTTTTCCGGTTATTTATATGTGTAGCCATGTCAGTCTTTCTTCGAGCGGGATCTGTTTCAATGTTTTCCAAAACAAACTGCCAATCTAGTGAAGTGTTGTAAGTATTTATGGCTTATTAGAAATTTGATGTATTTATCTCTACCGCATATTTGCTTAGGGTTTCCGCTATATTTGTAGTTAGTTAATAAAATTATATTGATTTAAATTGAAAATAACAGGTGTTTTGATGTAAATAAAAGTACGGTTTATATATTATATATTCAATTTAAGTTCTGGAACTGATAATTTGGGTTTTTCTTGCAAACACAGTCTGCAGTTTTTACTATCAGCAATCCATGGAGATGTATATTAGTAGGTATTTTTCTTTTTGTTTACATATATATTTTGAGAATTTTCTATAACCTTTACCTTGAGATACATTTATGACTGTAATACCTCAATTTTATTGTTTTGTCTTTGTTTCTATATGAATTGATTTTTTATGTATAATATTGTTGATTAAGCATCTAGTTTCGTTGGAGATATTGAGTTTTATTTAAATAATTTAATGAAATAGCATTGTCATTATTATTATTATTATTATTATTAGTAGTAGTAGCAGTAGTAGTAATAGTAGTCTTATTATTATCTATCGTGTTAATGTTAATTATTATAGTGTTTAAATTCTGTGATATTTAAGTGTGGGCAGTACACAATATTGGAGAGAATGCTCGCTTATAATTACAAAGTATCGACATACACATCAATGCTGGATGTCAATTGTCAATTTCGCTTCTCAGCCAAATTCAGCCGAAACAAAATTTACAAAGCAAATGAAATATATAAATTATTAAATTAAAATAATAAATAACTAAAATCAGCAGATTACAACTTATGACATTAAATAACCCAACGCATAAGACCTAAACAAATGAACAGGGAATAAATGGTTTCTTCCTTCCCACGCATCCTTTTATCATCTATATATGGAAAACTGCTAAATTAGTAGTGGTACGTGGTATGAAGTTAGGTTAAGTCGTGAAAATGACAGTCACCATGCACTGTTGATTCCTGCGTCCAGACTGTCGTTCCTCATTATAGATCAATAGATATATACGAATAGAATAAGATAGATAGATAGATAGATAGATAGATAGATAGATAGATAGATAGATAGATAGATGATTAGAATGATATAGAAAGATAATATATGAATAAAATGAGATCGATAGATACGAATAGAATTAGATAGATAGATAGATAGATAGATAGATAGATAGATAGATAGATAGATAGATATGAATAGAATGTTTTAGAAAAATAATATATGAATAGATAGATAGATAGATAGATAGATTTAGAAACATAATATATGAATAGAATGAGATAGATAGATAGATAGATTTAGAAACATAATATATGAATAGAATGAGATAGATAGATAGATAGATAGATAGATAGATAGATAGATAGATAGATAGATAGATTATCAGTATATTAAAGAGCATGTTTGGTGTGCGCAATTTTCTTGTACATTTGACATGTGTCCGTTCCTAGGTATAGAAAAAAAAGAAATATAAATGAAAGAAAATATATTTGAAGGATTTATATCTGCAGCCAAGTAAATCCTTTTTGGCGAAGGATGTGTGTATATGTTTCTAAATAAATTGTTGATATAGTGAATGGCTAAGACTCTTTATAGCTCATAAGATATTCGGTATATTAAGTTCATTTAAATAAGTGTTACGAGATTTTTGTTATATTCGGATTTAGTTAATATAATCCGATTGATCGAAATGTAATTGCAATATTTAAAATCGGGCTTGGCTTGATGGAAGGATATAAATAAATTGTGTATATAACACTGAACATTGAAAAATAAAAACAACACCAAAATTGAAAATGAAATGTGGAAAGGAAGGAAAATGGGGAGAAAAATACGAAGAGATTTAAAGAAAAGTGGCGTCGCAATAGAAAGAGGAAAATTTATTGAAAGAGGAAAATAAATGACAGCGAAAGTAAGGAGAACAAACGAAAAGAAAGAAAGAAAAATAAAAAGAAAGAAAAATAAAAAGAAAGAAAGGACAATGTAGAAAGAGATAGAAGAATGAGAAATATTAAGAGAAATAACGATTTGGCAAACAACACCCAAAACTAAAAATGAGAAGAAGGAAAAATGTAAACATTAGGAAGAAAAGAAGAAGAAAAACCATCAATAAAGTGAAAAAGAAGGATTAAACGTACTGAGGTAAGATTGGAAGGAAATGTAAGAAAGGAAGAAAGAACATTATGAAATTAGAAAAGGAAAAAGAAGGAAGAATACTGAAAAGTATTGTGGAAATTCTGGGTTGAAAGACCAAAAAGATAAGAAAAAAAAGGATCTGAGAAGAAAATCAGCAAGAATAAGATAAATGAAAAACACAATGGAAATAACAAAATGTAAAGTGGGAAATAAGGAAAGAAACGGAGATATAGGAAGAAAAACGATATTTCTTTCTTGCTTAAAATTACCGAGAATGAAAAATGTAAAGAACTATTTGGAGGAATATAAAGAAAAATGAATATTAAAGACAAGTTCATGAGAAGACGAAAATCGACGGGAAGGAAATGGAATTAAAATATATAGGTAAAATTAGGAAGAAAAATCAATATAGAGAAGAATAAAAACAGGGCCATGAGAAAAAAAAAATGAGAATGATATTTAGAGAGGAAATATTAGAAAAAATGATGAATAGAATGATATGAAAAATCGAAGACGATATACAAAGATAAGAGAAAAAGAAATACGAGGAAGAAAAAGAAAAGAAGAGGAGAATGAAAAAAAAGGTGGAAAAGAATCTAAATAGAAAATGAAAGAAATTAACGCAAAGAACAGTGAAGAAGACCTTCAACAAAGAGCCCAAGTAAGAACGCCACCTAGAAGAAAGAACAACAGGAAGCGAGACAACAGGGGCGAAAAGAAGCAAATAAAAGAAGACTGAAGAGAATGAAAAACGAATCAACAAAAGAAGGGACGAAAATTACAAACAAGGATAAACAAAGGAAGAAGTTGAAGGCTTTGCTGTGACAACTGGCAAAGGTTGGTTGGCATTCCCCCGACCTCGACATTTCCAGCTGCAATAGTCATAAACCACAGACCCGTGACAGAATTCCTCTCCAAGCCACTAATAGAACAAACTTCTCCGAGGCGCGGCCTCCATACGCGCGTCCACCAAATGTCATTTGGGAGAGAAGATTTCTTCGAAAGATCCTTTCAAACCAGAATGAGGTTTATCACGAATAGAGCTCCCAATGTTCTCCATCTGTCTGTCGATGAACAGTTATCCCTTTGCGTTTTTCTCTCTCCCTCATTTTTTTCCCTTTCTATCTTCCACCCCATAAACAACTCATTCTCCGAGGCTACCCCACCCATCGTCTATCCACACCATCGTCTTTTCTGTTTTCTACTCCCATTCAACACTATAGAATTCCTTCCTTCCTGTCTTTTTTATTTTATTTTTTTTATTTTTTCATTCTTGCCTGTCCGCTTATTTACTGGTTATACTTTTAGAGTTATTTTTTTTAATTCTATGGATAAGTTTGTATTCTTTTCATTTTTTTCTGTCTATTTTTTTAACTTTCGATTTTCTTCAAGACATTTCTATCTATCTATCTATCTATCTATCTATCTATCTATCTATCTATCTATGTATGATACGTTACAAAACTTTTCTTTCTTTCCTTGCTATACAATGCATGCATTTTTCCTAATTTTTTAAGTGGTCATTTTTCGTTCGCTTTTTATTTTTTAAATCTCTTTATATCTTATATACGTTTACTTTTTTTTCTTTTCTGTCAACTTCTTTATTTCTTTCTCGCCATCTCTTTCTCCCTTTCTTTCTTTCTTTCTTTCTTTCTTTCTTTCTTTCTTTCTTTCTTTTCTTTCTTTCTTATTCATTTCCCATGCTTTTTCGATTTCATTTCTTTTGGTGATCATTTTTCTCCTCACTCTTGCCTTTTTTTCATGTTTTTCTATTCTATTTATCATTTTACTTGTTTCAATTTCTTTCTTCTCGCCTTAATTTTCTTTTATATTGTTTTTCTATTTTCATTTTATTTATTCGTTTAAACATTTATTTTTATTTTCAGACATTCATTCTTTCCTTCATTCTTTTTCCTTCATCCCTTCTTTCATTCATTTCTGCTTTCATTTTTTTCATTCATTCCTTCTTTCAATCATTATTTCTTTCATTCATTCTTCTTCAATTCATGCCTTATTTCATTCATTCTTACTTTTATTCATTTTTTCTTTCATTCATTCATTCTTTCATTCATTCATTCCTTCTTTCATTCATTCCTTCTTTCTTTTTTGTCATTCATTTATTCTTTCAATCATTATTTCTTTTATTTATTACTTCTTTCATTCCTTCTTCCATTCATTCCTTCTTATTTTCTTCATTCTTTCCTTCTTTCATTCATTCTTCTTTCATTCATTCTTATTTTTATTCATTCTTACTTTCATTCATTCCTTCATTCTTTCTTCCATTCATTCTTTCATTCTTTCTTCCATTCATTCTTTCATTCATTCTTTCGTTCATTCCTACCTTCTTTTATTCATTCATTCTTTTTTTCATTCTTTCCTTCTTTCATTCATTCATACTTTCTTTCATTCTTTCCTTTCTTTCAGTCATTCATACTTTCTTTCATATATTCTTTTTTCATTCATTCCTTCTTTCATTCATTCCTTCTTTCTTTACCTATTTCTTTCATTCTTACTTTATTTGTTTCGTTACTTTCTTTTTAAAATATGTTGACCGTTTTAAATAAATTTCATTGTAATCGTTTATTTTTCAATTTTTAGTTTTTATTTATTTCATCAGTCTATTTTCTTTTCATTTTTTTGCTTTTTATTTTTATCTTTGTAGTTTTATTTTTCTATCTTCTGTCTTCCATTTTTTTTACTTTCCTTCTACCTTTCTTTCTTCCTTTGTTTCTTTCTAATTTTCTCATTTCGCTAACGCTTTCAAATCCCCCCCCTGCGCTTACTTTGGTTTGTAAATTTACCTTTCTTCATTTCATTTTCTACTTGAAACAAAAATTCGTTCTTCCATGTAATTAAGATCATGGAAATGGTTTCACTTTTCCCTAGAAGTGAATGATGGACAATATTCCTCACAGAGAAATAAAAGAGATTTGAGGCAAGATAAAGGTGGTTCTACAGAAGGATGATGAGAATGTCATGAACTTAACATGTGATTAACGATGAAGTTTTATGGAAAATGAAAACAAAATGGAAACTTCTATTTTGAAGCAGACACTGACAATTGGAAATTCTAGTACATACAATAAGGAAATAGAGTTTAGAGAATTTGGCAATCAGAGAAGGTATTAAAGACAGGAATGACATAAGAATGTCGCGAATAGTCTGCCTAACAAGCTTGTATTAATGGTTGGCAAAACAGTGATTAGGAGGGATAGAAAAATCTCATTAAGATCTACCGAAAATAGGAAGTTGAAGAGAGCCGTGATTGTCTACGTACTGATGGGACATGGCATAAAAGAAGAATTATAAGTTTTGCTAGTATCTTTGGGAAAATTTGTTTTCAAAATTTTCTTTCCCGCTGTTATTCCTTTTGTTTTTCTTTACTTCTGCTTTTAGCGATTCTCAGATATTATTTGCTTTCCTTTTCTCCGGCCTTCTTCAGGTGACTGGAATTTCGAATCGAACCCTTTATTTCGTCCACCTTTGCTTCCTCTAGCGTTTCTAGTTCCGTATGCCATTCCGCTTATGGATGACTCAGTTATTTCCCTTTAACATAACGCTCCAAGTTTTTGGTTCACAACTGCTGTAGCCTGGTACTGAATTCTCAACGGTTTGGATCTACTCACTGAATCTAACCAAATTCTTTATGCACTGGGCCACATTTTCTTGAGGACATCTGTACATGAATTTCTGGAACTTATAAACCTAATGTCTCACTCTCAGTTTTTACCAGTGCTCATATTGCATTTTTTGTTATTATTATTGCATTTTTTTACATAACAGTCCGAATAATGTAAATCATAATACCTCATCTCAGAGATATAGAAAGATAGTCGTTTGCTGTTTCTTTTCTTTCTTCATTTATTTTTACTTTCATCTGTGTCATAAATTCCTTCTATTTTCCCTGCATTGCTTTTGTCCACTAAATTTTCCTTCGTCTTTCTTTTATTTTCTTTCATTATTTCATTCTATTTTCTTTCATTATTTCATTCTATTTTCTTTCATTATTTCATTCTATTTTCTTTCATTATTTCATTCTATTTTCAATATTCTCCTTTGATTCTCTCTTTTTATTCATATTATTTCATTTTTGCTTCCATTTTTGCTCATTGTTTCCTTTTCCCACATTTCTCTGGATTTTCTTATTGTTTCTTCTTTATTTTTCTTTCCTGTCTTGATTCCATATTTGCTTTCATCCATTTTAATTTTCTTTAACCGTTCTTTCCTCTTTCTATTTTCCTTTCATTTTTTCTCTTTTCTTAATATATTCCTTATAATGTATATTTATCATTTTTAATATTTTTCTTTGTTTCTTTGTTTTTATCATTCCCTGTTTTGTTCTTTGTTTCATTATTGCACTCCATTTATTTTTTCTATCTTTCTCTAATCTTTTCCATTCCTTTTTTTTTTCTTACTTTCCCCTCTTTGTTTTTGTCGCTTTTATATTTCACACGGGATGTAAATGATTCCCTCTATAATTCCGTCATTCTCTTAAACTCTCTTATTTAAAATTGCTTTTACTTCAACACTTACACATGAGCATTCACTCAATTTTAACTTCATTTTAAAAAATTTTTTTTCTTCTAACTTTTTACACAAATTGCTTTTCAGCTTATTTTCATATTTTTCTTTTGCGTGTTTATACTTTTCTGTCTCATTCGTTAAAGAGTGATTTGCGACTAGATTATTTGCATTCCCTTTCTTTCAGTTACATTTGCAACGATTCATTTTATCTTCATTTTCTTCTTTACTTTTCGCCATCTCTGTTCCAACTTCTTCATTTGGTATTACTATTTCTTCTTCTTCTTCTTCTTCTTCTTCTTCTTCTTCTTCATCATCAACATCATCATTTTGTAAAATCTGTTTCATCATCTCACTTTCATATTACATGCTCTTTTTCTTCTTAATTTGTCTTCATCTTTTTCTTCTTCTTCTTCATTTTGAAAAATCTATTTTATCATCTCCCTTTCATATTACATGTTCTTTTTCTTCTTGATGTGTCTTCTTTTTCTTTTTCTTCTTCATTTTTTCTTCTTCATTTTGGAAAACCTGTTTCCTCATCTCCTTTTCATATTACATGTTTTTTTCTTCTTAATTTGTCCCCTTCTTCTTCTTTTTCTTTTTCTTCTTCTTCTTCTTCTTCTTCTTCTTCTCCTTCTTCTTTATTTTTCACCTTTCCTATTTCATCTTCTTCTATTCCCTCTCCTTCTTTGCATGTAATCATCTTAGTCGTGTCTTTCTGAAATCTTTCAATTATCTATTATATAGGGTTTTACCTTGTCATACGTGGCAGAGCGGTGTTCGAAGTGTGGCATCCCCCCACCCAACATACCAAAGTAAACGACTTGTATATTATCAGAGTTAAAACTGGTTATTTTCAGGAAAACTTCCTCTCATATGATGATGGCTATTTGTAAACCTAATGTCAATCTTGGGTCACACGGTGAGAATCGTTTCCGCAACATAGTCGACAAAACCTGCTCTCTAGCCATTACTATAAAGTGAATCGTTTAACGTAATATGGCAAAAAGCCAAAATGAGCGTTCCAGTCACTATATTATTTAAAAACCAAGTGAGAAGTGTTCGTTAACCATTGGTTTCTTCAAAGAGTTCTCAATTATACACAACGTATTCAGATACATTATTTGCAATTTCTTTCTCATTATGGATTTGCGTCTTTTTTCTTCCCAGGTTATAAACAAACTGACCCTTAAGACCACCATTTAGTTCTTCTATTCTCTCTCCTGAAGCATTTTATTCTTATTTTCAATTCTACTATTGAGGAATTTCGGGTTTTTTTTCCCGCGTCGGTTCTTTCTTCCATTCTTTCTTTCTTTCTCTTTCCAAAGTTGTCCCCATTTCTTAATCTTTACCGTTTCTTTCTTCATTTCTTTCTTTCTTTTCTTTCTTTCTGATTTCTGTTTCCAAAATGATCTCTATTTCATAATCTTTTATTTTTCTCTCTTTGTTTGTCTGTTTCTTTCTTTCTCTTTCCAAACTTATCTCTAATTATCAATTTCTTTCTTTATTTCTTTTTTCTTTTTTTTCAGTCATTCATTCTTTCTTTCTTTCTTTCTTTCTTTCTTTCATTCATTCAAAGTTATCTCTATTTCTCTATCTGTTTTCTTTTTCCCTCTTTTTCCTTTCTTTCTTTGTTTTTTTTTCTTTCTTTTGTTTCTAACATTATCTCTATTTTGTTAAGTATTTTTTAAGTTTTGTTTTAACAATATACTAAATGCAAATGGTTGCGGAAAAATTAAAGTGAGAACAATAAACCTTAGTAAAGTTTATAGCTTAAAATTGCTGATTTTTAGCTCGGACTATTGTATTCTTTACAATAACCAGGAATTGTGTTCGTATGCTTAGCGCAGTATAAAGGCGTTAGATATAGGGTTGGATAGAATTTCGACTTCTCTTTCAAAATGATTGAAAAAATAAAATGAGTAATTCGATGGGTTCCGGAAAGTACATCTTGCACTATCGCAGACAAAAAATGTCTATAAACTGGTTCAAAAGAAACGACCATCATTTAGTAATTACACAGAACTATTTTTACTTTCAATCAGCACGACTGATGCTGACCCCAAGGAGAGAGAGAAACTTCGTCTTCTTGGTCTCACGTTTTCTACTGGCATGAATTGGAATGAGTATATTAAATTATTTGCCAGTTTTGCTGCTAGGAAATTTGGTTCACTGTGTCGTATTAGACCATTTTTCTAACCAGAATTGATTTTAAACATTTATAAATCTGCCATTTATCTGTGCATTGAATATTGCTGCCATATCTGGTCGGTCATCTGTATTTATCAGATAGTTAGAATTGGCGTCGCATGAATGAATACTGTGTGTCTTGAAAAAGATTGTATCCTGTCAGAACTCGTAGACTGGCGCTACAGATTCACAAAGAATTTTACCAAATAACAAAAGCCAGATCGCATAGTGCATGTAACTGAATAAGAAAATAATAAAATAAACAAAATGTTGACGTCCCACGCTACCCCAAACAAAATAATAGGAAGAAAGCCAACGTCAATACTAGAAAGGGTGATATCAGTTAGCAGAACTGACGAATCCATTTTTTATAAAATTTGTTTTAATAGAAAGATTTAATAAAATTAAAACCGAAAGTAGTAGTGATGTCTCGGTGAATAAATTGTCGAATGTTTCCTAATAAGAAAATTGCTAACTTAACGAGTATCACTAATTTTTCAAAATGAATGAATTATGTATTTGCATTTTTAGGACATTCTGAATGCGTAGATTATTTTCAACTAAATGTTTCGTAAATGTTTCATAAATGTTGCATAAATGTTCTATTAATGTCCATAAATGTTGCACAAATTTTTTATAAATGTTTCGAAAAAGTTCATAAATGTTTCATAAATGTGTCATAAATGTTGATAAAAGTTTCAAAAATGTTCTATTCATATTCATAAATGTTTCAAAATGTTTCAAAAATGTTTATAAATGTTTCGTAAATGTTCATATATGTTTCATAAATGTTTCATGAATGTTTCCCAAATGTATCAAAAATGTTCATATAGGTTTCGTAAATGTTCATATATGTTTCATAAATGTTTCATGAATGTTTCACAAATGTATCAAAAATGTTTCAAAAATGTTCATAAATGTTTCATAAATGTTCATAAATGTTCATAAATGTTTCATAAATGTTCATATATGTTTCATAAATGTTTCATAAATGTTTAAAAAATGTTCATAAATGTTTCATAAATGTTCATATATGTTTCATAAATGTTTCATGAATGTTTCATAAATGTTCATATATGTTTCATAAATGTTTCATGAATGTTTCATAAATGTATCAAAATGTTTCAAAAATGTTCATAAATGTTCATATATGTTTCATAAATGTTTCATGAATGTTTCATAAATGTATCAAAAATGTTTCAAAAATGTTCATAAATGTTTCATAAATGTTCATATATGTTTCATAAATGTTTCATGAATGTTTCATAAATGTTCATATATGTTTCATAAATGTTTCATGAATGTTTCATAAATGTATCAAAATGTTTCAAAAATGTTCATAAATGTTCATATATGTTTCATAAATGTTTCATGAATGTTTCATAAATGTATCAAAAATGTTTCAAAAATGTTCATAAATGTTTCATAAATGTTTATATATGTTTCATAAATGTTTCATGAATGTTTTATAAATGTATCAAAATGTTTCAAAAATGTTCATAAATGTTTCATAAATGTTCATATATGTTTCATAAATGTTTCATGAATGTTTCACAAATGTTTCATAAATGTTTCAAAAATGTTCATAAACGTTTCATAAATGTTTCTAAAACTTTCCGGATATTTCATTTTAAATTTTGTCTTTTCTACATACAATACGTGATTGCACATGCGATACCCGGCCCTCGTCAGTCGCCAACCAGGGGAGATAACAAATTGTTGGTGGCTAAGGCGGTACTGTCACCAGCAGTTTTTGCCACAGGACAGGGTATTGTTTTCCTCTACGTGTCAGTTTCTTGCGATTTCTTTTTAAAACTGCAACTTAGATTTCTAATGGAGTGTTAAAATATACAACACGCTCGTAGCGACCGTTATTAATTTCGTACAATGGAAGGTAAGCATGTGTGTTTCACGTCGGAAGTAGAATCGTGTTGCGAGCATGGTTTTATTTAACTGTATTCGTTTTAGATTTTGGCCAGAACCAACTCGATGTCTGCTTAGCTGTGGTCTGGAGACGTTGTGAAGCATGCTTTAGATTCCGGCCATTTATGCTAACTTTCAGAAGGAAGGAAACGATTATGTGCAATATCAGTGAGAGATCCAAGAACATTCTTGTTGCAGTTATATATATATATATATATATATATATATATATATATATATATATATATATATATATTTTAAACACAAACATTCTCTATTATTTCCCTTATTTTTTCATATCTGCAGAATGCGTATCCAAATGACAAATGACGCCATATATTATGAAACAAATGACGTCATGCATTATGAAATGGAGAAATCCCGACAATTATTTAAGACATGTTTTTTATGTTTATACGTTTTTTTATTGATACAAATATTTAAGTAAATGCTCTGATTATAATAAACAGTATTAACAACATTTACCGGCCTGAATGTCCGAGAAATTTTCATAGAAAATATGCGTCCTCCGAAACAAAAACCCAGTAAAATCGACCTTGCTAACCGAGCGCTCCTCTGTAGCCCAATCGGTTAAGGCACGTCAGGCTAAATGACGGTTCCGTATAGGATACAGGTTCGATACCTGTCGGAGGACGCATATATATATATATATATATATATATATATATATATATATATATATATACACACACGGTACATATGCAAAGTTGAGAAAGAATAGAATTATCAACAAATTTGAAAACGGTATTATTGTAATAACGAAAAATTATAAGGACCTTATTAATTTGTAATATAGGCGCTCCTTGCTCTGAAAGTTGTTCATCCAGTGATTTTGTGGGCTCTTCATATTTCTACATATGAAACCGATTGCACAATATCTAGAATAGCACCCAATGTTCATTTTTTAAAGTGGATTTCTGTCTGCAAACGTGAACATTCCTCTTTACAACGCTACACTCGTTTTAAATCGGCTTAACGCTGCCTGATCAAACAGGCGGCATAATCACACGAGTGCCTCTGAGACCCATTTTATTCAAATATTCTTTGGTATTTCTTCGCCAAATTTTATAGTTTAGTCGTTTAAATTTTTTTTCTTTCTGAAATCTTTTGGTTTCTTCCTATGATATCGCTTCGGGTGTATTTTCAAAGAAGTTTCTGAGCAGTTATTTTAAAACTTTCTGGAACAAGCGATATATGCACTTACTCAACTTGTCAGGGACGTTTCAATCAGTAGCTGCCCATCCTTTGCTAGAGACGAGGGTAGCAAGGTATTCATTTCTGAAAATCACGTCACTACTGACGGCTTTTAATAGGGTGTTAAATAACAGTATGTTTTCTATTCCTCCTCTGTATTAACATCTTCCGCTGAAAAACAAACTATTTTTCTTGTTAATTCTTTTCAAATTCTACTCCTGACTCATGAAATATCTTTGCCTGTGTCTATATTGAGTAATATGCATATAACTACTTCCATGGTTTTTACTAATACCGCTATACTGAATCCTTACAAATCATGTGGTCTTGATGGTATCCCTTCAATAGTCCTTAAAAAATGTTATCCTGAACTGGTTCCTGTTCTCTCTAGGTTTTATAATAAATATATTGCAGGTTCATCTTTCATTGTCTGTTGAAAATCTTTTCTGTAATTCCAGTTTTTAGGCACCTAAGTGAAACGTCTGATCCTTCTCTCGGCTTATTAACCTTCGAGCTCTTTGTGGCAAAGTAGTTTGAGGTTCTAATTAACTACTAATTGGTTAAACGTCTCACCTCTCAGCTTCTTCATTCAGACAAACAATACGGCATTTGCTTCTCTAGGTCAACTGATCATATATTAATAGTTATTGCTGAAAGTGTCTGTCAAGCTTCAGATAAGAACAGTGAAGCTAAGACTGTTGCTTTGGATACCTGAAAGGCATTTGACAGGGTTTGGCATTCTGATCTTCTTCACAAGTTGGAAGACTATGGTATTTCTGGTAGACTCTTTGAGTTGATTCTTATCAATTCGGGAAATTAAAGTGAATGGCTACTGTTCTATATTTTTTAACATTTTTCTTTTGTTTTATCTTTGCATCTACTTTGTTCTTAATTTTAAAAAATGGCCATTCTGATGTCACCAGTTCCCAACTCGATATCTATACTAACGATATACCTACTTACTCCAGTCTTAATAGTAAATCTGATCGGTTCGATATATGATCTCTCTATTTTTAACTGGGTTATGAATGGCTTGTTAATTTTAACATACCAAAAACGAAACAACTCTTATTTAATTTTATGTGAGAACCCATTTTATCTCCACGCGAATGGCTAATTCTAAACTCCATGAGGCGAGAATAACCAGAATGAGGACGAAAATTCTTAGAGAAACGTTAATTTCACATCTCAGAAATCCACCGTTTGAAATGAAATGGCTCTTATGCACCACCTTCATTTAATTAGCTTAATCAATATTTTCCTCTGCCTCTCTTGACTTCAGTATGTCCTGTGAGCGGGGGTGGGTATCATATTCTCCAACATCTATTTCAT